ACCAAACCAAACCAAACATCGAGATTCAGGGTGTAAGAGATATCGAAATATGATAAAAACTGAACAAACCAGTGAAATTTATTGCGTTAATTTTTCTTGATAATATTTTCATACTGTTGGCACAATATATTTTAACAATCAACGCTATAAATTGCAAAATATTTCGTTATGTAAGTTACATTAAATTAATGGCTCATTCTCATGAAATATGAATGGCAATGGAAACCTCAGGGAATTAAGTATAAAAAGAAGAGAGAGAGAGAGAGAGAGAGAGAGAGAGGGAGGGAGAGGGAGAGGGGGGAGAGAGAAGAGGGTGGTTCACTGGCAAGGATACCAAGAGAGACTCATTTTGAAATCTATTGCGAATGCGTTGACGTTTCCCGCAGCTGATAGCCCCACCCTCTGCCTTGGCTGCACAGGTCGTCGCCCCGGCGCAGTTACTGCTGAAGTCCTCCGACGCCGTGCGCTGCCTTCGCGTGGATCCTCTGCCACTGCCACCGCACGCGCACGCGCGTGCTCCGCCCCAGACCACCGCGCTTCGCGGAGCAGCGCGCTTCCGCCACCAACCGGCACCCTCAGGACTAGGTGCTCAGGGCCACGTCTTTGGCGCTCAGTAGCGAGAACTTCGTGTTCAGTGTTTAGGAATTAGTAGTAGTTATTTAGGTCTCAGAGCTCAATCGTTTTGCACCAAATGCCCAGGATTTTGTACTCAGTAGCTAGAAAGTATTTCCCAGTGTTTAGTACTCAGTGCACAGTGTTTAAGACTTCGTTGTCGCTTCGACTAACTCGAATACATGCACGCTCCAACTGTTAGTCTTTCCTCTCCTATTCTCGTCCCTATTTCCTCGCTCGCACAAACGTTTTGCAACTTTTTCCCTGTCTTCATACATTTCACACAAGAGCTTGCTACTGGTATGATTTAATGTACGGTCGCTCTTCCACACAATCGTTTCGTCCTTATTCACCCACAACTATTTTGTTTTCGTTCTGTGCATTCATTCGCTTGCTCTCACACCTTGTACTGAGCCTATTTTGTACACTCTTCTCAGGCTTATTTTAACTTCTATTGGTTACAATTTTCACAATGATCTATTGCCTTCTTATGTGCTTATTCATCCTCACCTGCTCGAAAGGTGACTGTTCACCCGCATGTGTCATTTCCCGCTAGGTAACCTGGTTTTAGCCGTCTGACTGACAGCTTACCAGCGCACTTTTCTGTCGCTCAGGCTACTCCGTCCATCGGATATTCACCAATTATTTTCACGCATTTTCTCTTCGTTCCTTTGCCCGCGTAAATGACGGATTCCCGGCTTTTAACATAACTAGAATACCTGCGGTGATACACACTTGCATATCGGGCACATCATTTCAGACGTGCACGCAACCCTTTGGGAGAAGACAAATGGCCTGAGCGCCGTTATCTTATCTACAGCCACCTGACTGCGGCAGCCCCGCCAACGGCGCGTCCTTGAGACACAAAACGCCGGAGGCGCCCCTGGAAAACCGAAAACAACAACAACGTGGAATCCCTGCGGAGGTTTGCTACGTGCAACAGGGGGTCGGTGAACTTGTGCTGATGTGCCGAACGTGTTTGTTCACGTGGGTTATAGTATCATACACGCCAATCAGGGCTCAACAGCTTCTAAGAAATGAAGGGGACAGGGACAATACGTTGTTATCCATATCTTCACATATCAGAAATTAGTTATCTTAGAATTTTTCAAAAAAGAAATGAACGAAAAGCAAAACCACAACATATACACACAAAAACACCGCAATGCGCGTGTACGCACACGCGCACACACACACACACACCACCACCATTACCACCCCACCACCACCACCACCCACCAACAACAACAACACAACAACAACAACAACACAACCAACAACAAAATAATAATAGCAACGTGACCAAACGATTACAAATTTCATACAACATAGGTGCGTAGAAAGCAGCCAGAAATGTAGGCGCAAACAATTATTAAACTGTTTTCTTTATCTGACAAAAATTACAGAAATATGGGTTATCACTATCTTTCCTCGGCAATTACGTTCACGAATATCTGATTACTTGGCTAAAACATGAGAACCTACCAGTATCGTCGGCATCGAGTTTTCGAAACCACTAAGTAGCTATATCATGTTTATTAAATGACAGTGTAAATATTTGTGCGAATAAAAACAGAAGCACTCATTTAAATAAGAGGAAAGTACATGTAATACGAATCAGATGTTTCTAGAAGGAATAAAGCAATGTCACGTCAGAGCAAACTGGCACAGAAACATGACGCGCAGCCCGGAAAGTGGTCGTCGTTTAGGTGATCAAGTTCCTTACTCCTAGATTATAAATGCATATGCTTTGTCACAATGTCCCCATTTAGATAGTTTTTCTCTCTTTCGATTTCATCGAGGTAGGTGAGTAAACATTATTTTATATATTCCATACGTTAACGTGATGAATAAATGTGTCATCCTGTTCCCCAAACCACGCGAAAAGGCAGGATAACTAAAGGAAAAGGAAGATAAAACTGGTTAGCTTGTATTACTTTCCCAATTTAGTGCCATATAATTCCATTCCTCGTCGTTTAAACGCTGTCTTTTTATAATCTGTTGGATTTTCAGTTATACAATAATTAATATCGTTAGGCTGACCGCTTTGTTTCCAAATGAAAAGTGACTTAAGTATTACTTTTAGGGAGAAAAGACTCCTTCAAATGCTCAAAGTCGTCTTTTAGAATTTATTATTCCTCCCAACACTTACGTCTTGGCACACATTGCCATTCCATTCACTTCAATCAATCAAGGGGCTAGTGGTAATAGCCTTTGTAACACCAAGAAAAAACAATCCATCTATTACCACCAGAAAATCATAAATTAAATGTTCAAAATGTAATATAATTATCTCAATTCTCTAAAAAATGTCTAATTGTACTTTCAAGCATGAAAAATTGTTCTTGTGATCAGGAAGCTTTAAAAATTCCCTACGGTTTTCATTAGCTATCGACAATACATCTACATGACAGTTCATCATGCGAAGAGTGACAAATCGAAATCCACTAGTTAAATATAAAAGAAATTAATTCCGAATTAACATAGAACCATCTAATTGGCTTTAGTAGCATCAAACATTCGCCCGAAGAACACAGAGTCGGCCGAAGGCATCAGCTTCGAGCCTGGAGGAACAGGTGGGCAAATACATTCCGTATATTTCCACGTCACGGAGGCGGCGGCGGCGGCGTTTAAAATTATCGCGCGCGTCGCGGCCTCTGATTAGACGCGGCGGGTGAGCGCGTCGGCGGCGGCGGCGCCGCACGCACGGGCGTCATCCCCGCACACGCCGCGGCGTCGCGACGCGGTCACGCCGGCGTTACTCGGCGTCGCCCGCACACGACGGGAAGGGTGTTTGGAGCAAGTGAGAGTAAAACGAAATTGGAGAAATAACCGTCTTTAAATCTATTGGTATCATTTTAATTAAAAAAAGATATTTTATTAGACAGTTGCAACCAACAAACAAAGGACGGTCAATCCGCTTTAAAAAAAATTTTCTAGTTAAAAAAAAAACAAAAAACTAAGTGACGTTCTACGGGGGGATGTGTATTCTGTTCACGTTTTCTTAATTCTGGGATCCCTACCCTAAACCGTACACAAGTTGAATTCTGAATACAGGAAAAGAATTGTTAAAAAAACTATTCGCTCCGATGTGTAATATATTTTTTCACGGGTAAATCAGCTATAGATTTGGGCTCTTATCTTTCATGATGTTCATTGGGAATGTTATATGTTCTGCCTCGTAACATGGTGAATGATAATTTGAATAACTACTTTTCCTACTGAATTCTAGATTACGTACACAGATAATTTGGGTGAAATAACGGAAGTCATCTTTGTCAGCTTAGAAATGAGAGACGACTTGCGGCGACTTTGTCATCAGCATAGAAATGTACCAACTAAGTATCAAATATTTAAAAAAATACTAAACAAGAAGATGATACAAATGTAATACAAATAATGAAATTAACAAAGAACATTAAAAATTGTTTTACAATGATGTAAAATTAGAAAATACAAAAAATGAAGCTGTTCCTCAATTACTGAAATACGAGATTCCTCAACTGTATTCCGACAATTGAGAAATTGAGCTAACAATTGACATAAAACATGTACAATTGCACCATTAGTTGTGCTTTTGTGATAGAAAATTTGGTTACCAGTAATTGTGGCAATTTTTAAAAATATTGGATATGTTTAAAATATTTCTTTTTTGGGAAAAATATGAAAGTTGTCAGTAAAAAAGTTCAATTTAGAGTTTCCAATATTGTTAACTTTTGAAACAGGACAGACATTTTGACATACTTTTATTATGTCGGTAATTTAAGGCAGAACATATTGTACAATTTCTTCGAATTTTCAGCATAGTATTTTAGTGGGTCCAATATTGATCGTTCTTTCTCATTGATTGCAGACTAGTAATATTATTAATGTTGTTCACATTTTATTTATTCATAAATTTGCGTGACATTTAAAGAAACGTACATATAACTCATTTAATTTTAAAAAAATCTGTAATATATTTTGAACATGTATAGAAAAAACCTGTACCAGTTTCAGTACTAACAAAAAACGTAAATTAATGTTTTATCATCCCTTTGCATTTAAACAGAGTAGAAAAGGTATTGCCCATGTGATTATTACTGGACCGTCATTCTAAGACACGAAGTTTTACGAAAGAAAAATTATGGATACAATTTCTAATTCACAATTTTTTTACGTTAACACGTATTTCATCACCGTCATATTATTTTCAACCGTTTTTGGTTGTGCTGATAATGCACAAGTGTCGATTGTCACTTATTCACGAACCTTTATGGTCACCTCATGTTCTCACAACCACTTCCACTCGTCTCACTGACGCCATCGTCACTCCTATGCTCATGTCACCAGTAAATTTCGACTTTACTGTCATCATCAAATTCTTAAGAGGTGACATTGTAACATACGTTGAGCAATAATCGTTGCCTGCACAACCATCGCCACTACTGGATACCAACACACATTCCATTGCCAACGCCTCCATTGCCGCCACCATCGTCCCAGGCACCTGTCCGGCGGCGTCACAAGCATGTAGCTCAGAATTGTGCTATCATTCTTCGAGGCGGCTGGTGGCCAACCCGCGACGCCGGCCTCTGCTTTAACGCCGCCTGCGCCATCCCCCTCGCCACCACCTTTTCGGGCGCCAGCGTCAGCACTGTGTCCATTGCCATTCTCTCCTCAGTCTCCGCCGACAACCAGCTGCTTGCCACCGACAATATGATTTTGCCCTGCAACCCGCTATATTGATATTGGCACATGGAAATAGATAAAAACAATATACATTGCCCCCCAAAAATCTCATTTTCAATAATGGATTCTACTCCAATGTACTGCAAATTGTGTGAAGGAAAGAAGTGAGTTAATTGCAGACGACTCTCCAAATTTAAAATATGTAATTTATCTAGACACGAACTAATTGCACAATTTCCAAATAAATATACATACGAATTACATAATTGATAGCAAACAATATTAATCAATTTTCAGAAATTTAAACGTAATAATACTAAAACTTACAATGATTTATTGAATTCTACTTAAATGCGATTCAAAATTGATAAATTGTTCCCGTACGTAGCAAAATATCTAAACAATTGTCGTTTCCTGTATACAAGTAGTAATTTTTAAACGTAATTGCACATGAAGCCTCTTAAAAAACACATACACGATCATGGATACTGCGCCTACCGCACCCCCAATCGCCACCACTGTCACCAACTCGACATATACAGGCATGCAGTCACCGTCGCCACCAATGCCCTCACCACAGACCTCACTCCCTCATCGCCGCGCCCTCACAGGAGCGTCCGTCGCCAAAGACTCGGCCGCAGCTCTTTTCTCGCGAGGTGACACCCGCGGAGCTCTTAATTGCCGGATTCTGTGTTGCGCCGGCGCGGCCCCACACAAAATCACCCGCCCCACCGCCGCCGCCGCCGGTTCCGTTGGCGACCGAATACAGAGCTCCGTCCATGCTCCTGGCGCTGGAGGCGGCGATTTACGAGGTTCTCCCGGCGGCGGTGATAGTGGCGGCGGAGGCGGCGGCGGCGATGACGGCGGCGGTGGCGGTGGCGATGGCCGTAGCCGTAGCTGCCGTGGAGCCGGTTGCGGTATGTGGAGGTGTTGGCGGTGTGCTTAACGAAGCGGCGGCGATAGCAAATGTAGCATCAATGGCTAGCAGTGGAGATGGCAAGTAGTAGCATTAATTGCGAAGGTGGTGGCAAGGGCTCAACATCGCTGACCGAGACGGTGGCGTTGGCGTCTATGCAGGTGATTGGGAGGGTGTCGTTGGAACCGGTATCATTGGCGGCGGTGGTGGCAACGGCAGCGCTAGAGGTGGTGAAGGCGGCGGTGAAGGCGGCGGCAGTGAGTACGCCGAACACCAAGGGCCACCTGTCTCCCCCGAGAGATAGTATCCGCCATTTCGCGTCATGACCCGCAGACATTTTGTGGGAGTCCATTTCCGGTGCGTCTATTTCTAATGTTTTGCTCGTTCACGCGTGTTACGGAACCTAACTAGCGTGATATATGTGTCACATCTAAACAGTAGTATTTTCAAGTTACAGTGTATAAGTCGTACGAATTATGTGTTGTGGATACTCATCAACTGATGCTGTTAAAAGTTGTTTTTTTACTATCCTACTGCGTCGTTTCTTCGACGTAATATGCTCAGCATTGAATTCTTATTTCAAGAGATGTATAAAAGGACATTCATTTAGAAACGACACGCCATAGCATATTCCAGCTAGAAAAATACCTTAAGTAGAGAGTTGTAGGTAGGGGACAGCAGTACATTAAAATTAAATTTTAAAATGAGTAATTACCACGGATGCAAGCAACTTAAATTGCCTTACGCACATAAAATAAAAATTGTTTCTGAAATAATGTGTCCTATTCATGGGCACGTTCACGTAAGCGAGTTTAAAGTCGCAGTCCACTCCCCTTCTTCGGCCACGTCCTCATCCCATCCACCACTTCGTCCCTTACTTTCTTTCCCATCAACGCCCCCTTCCTCCCCGCTCGCCAGAGCCTCCTAAACGTAGCGGCACGAGCGGCGCGTAAACAGCACGTGTCCATCCGCGCGACCAAAGGAAGAACACGAATTACGAGAGCCCCCGCGCGCGAGATAAACAAGCGCTTTATCCCATTGTAAAGATCCGGCGGCGGCGGCGGCGACGCGGAGGCGCCCCGCTCTGATTACTATCTCTCCGCGCCGCGAGAGGTAAATCTGGAAGAGGTGCCAGACTTACGCCGCCTTTGCAGGCGAGAGAAGCCCGGCCCGTTCGCCCGGCGACAACTGAGGCGTGGGCGGCGGGGCAGACGCAGCGCGACACGTGGAGAGCGGGAAGAGGCGCGCTCTAGAGGGAAATCTGCAAAACAAGGGATGGGCCGTAGAGGGAAACGATGAAAAAAAAATATGTGGAAAGGGTTCAAGTGGTGTAAAATGAAGTATATGAGGCGGTACGTGTTACGTAATTTGAAATACAAAATGGCAAATAAATCTCTAAAAGTGAAGAAATGAAATACACAACACAATTTAAAGACGAAACCTGAAACATTGTAGGGAAGTTCATGTTAAAGTTTATTCGATAATATCAAGATCTAATTGAAATAAACACTACACGAAATATAAGATACATTAAAAAAGGAAATCTGTCCCAAAATATAAAACGTCGAGATAAATTATAAAAATATGGTTTTGCAAACAAAAGTTTGTCAAATACGAAAAATAAACTGGACTAACAGAAAACGAAGAGAATCAAATCCAAGTACTACCACGTGTCAGAAATAATACATTAATCTTTTAAATTTCCAACGATATTTAGATGAATGAAATTAATAAAATGTAGGAATTAGTGGTCGACAATGTTGTAATAACTAGCGGCGACGATACGAGCCGAGGGAGATCATAGGGCAGCCACATAACTTCAAGCCGCCCCAGTGTCTTGTTTACTTTGCAGTAAAAAGAGTTTTAAATGCCATGGATTCTACGCGTGCGGCAATATTTACTATTTATTTTTAAAAAATAATTACATTAGAAGTAACTTTTCAACGAGTTTTGCACATAAATCATACTGATATAGGAAGGAGAAAATGCCAAAACAGAAAGAGGAGTACGGAAGGCAAGTAGAGGCGCGGTCAAAGACACAACAGCGCCCCTACGTCTCGGTGTCACTTTACGTATTTACGACGGCGCCTCTTGCGTAATTATCGTCATTCCTGGCCCACACTGAAGGACCCGCGGGAGATTTCAGAGATTCGGCGCCATCTTGTCACTTTGTGACGCCTCCGTTGACACTTCTCTCGCTTGTCACTCCTCCTTCTCCTCTTCCCCCCTCCAACTGCTTCTCCTTTCCCTCCTCCTCCTCGTCCTCCTCAGCCGCTGCCGCCATCGTCATCCTCGTCGTCGCGTGATGGCGTGAAACTGTAATAGACTCCCTTCCAGGCTGTGACGTCAGCCTAAAACAATAGCAGGCCGCCGCTTAATAAGTGACATATATCACTGCGATAATCTCTTCATAAATTTATGTGGACACATCCGAGAGACAAGGGCTGCGTTATATGACGACGCCGGCGACGCCCGCCTCCGCGAAGGCGAGCACGAGGACGAACGCGAGGACGGAGGAATGGGCGTGGACGAGGATGACGAGTGATATGAGGGGGACTACCAAGGAGGGGGTTGACAAGACGAGGACAAGAAATGAAAGAGGAAGAAGATGGCGGTTTCACGAAGAGACGAGAATGGGGTTAAAGACGAACAAGGCGGAAGCATTGAACGAGGAAAAGAGCGAGGATAAAAGACGGATGCGGCGATAATGAGAAACAAAGAAGGAAAGAAAATGATGTTCACGAAAAGATGAGTGTAATGAGGTTAAAGAATTCGGGAGTGTAGGAACAAGGTTGAGAAGGAATCTGGCGGGAATAAGAGTGGAAGAAGGCGGTAAGATTCACGAAAACACGTGAGTGAAATAAGGTTACCCAGAACAAAGGCGGAGGCAGCAAAAATGTGAAGACGATGAAAAGTTTGCGAATAATCGACGGAGGCATCGGGAATGAAAAAGTGAATAAACAGATGGCGAACTGCATGAGAGGGAAAAGAAAGCGAAATTACATTAAAGATGTCGAAAGTGGCGGAAACAGTCGAACAGAAGAGTGAGGCGAGAGGAGGCGGTGAGAATGAGAAAGTTAGGAAAATATATCAGACGAGGACAATGTATCTGACGAGAGAGGCAGCTAAGATGAGAATAATTAAATAATGGGTGATGGAAACAATGGAAAATTATTATGAGACAACCATTCAGTAATCGAAAATGATCTTTAACAGAAAGAACCACACTATCAGTGTAAGAAATATAATGACGGTGATTGCTATTACGGGAAGACAGAACTGTCTGGTGGTGCAGTCGAAAAGGGGGTATGTATGTTAATGTGTTATATTGGTAATTTAAAAATAATAAAAAATAGGGCGGTTAAATGATACTTAAGAGGGTAGTAATTCGACAATTCGAAAATACATGTAGCAAATGACCTGAAATAGGTGATACTAGGAGAAAATATGCGCAGACCGTAACATTGTTGGGGCTGAGGAGAGTCAACTGTATTACTAAACATTTTGTTAGTTCACAAATGATAGACGATGAAGCAAGAAGGCTTGGTGTTTAATTAAATCTCAAGAGATCTCTCCACAGGCGATTTTCATTCTGCAGAGCCCTCTCTAGAGCATATTCACTTCTCCGTGCTCTAGCATTTTCTTTGAAGGAGAAATGCGCAAGTTATATCTGTCGCTTCTTGGAGCTGTGCCCTGGACACGGCAGGTGTTATGCACCGGTTAGTTCGCCCCCAGTCGTGTTTAGCTTGTGGAATGTGACAATGCGACATTTCTTTCTTGTGAGTTGTAAATAACAATTAATCAAATATACTTGTGCTTGTTAGTTCTGTTCCACTTAAC